AGGGCTCTATTCCCTCCTAAATGTGAATCAATAAAAGAGAAAAATGATGACCAAACTAACCAGGGAAGTGTGGTGGTGGGCCACCAGGCCCTACTGGACCAGGGAAGCGATCTCCTCCAGGACCAGGGGGTCCAGGGAACCTGCCTCTGCCCCGGCTGCCCATGGGGAAACCCCCGCGGGGACCTGCACCCGGAGGACCAGCTTTACCTTCCCCGGACATCTGGCCTGACTGGGTGCCTGCAAAACGAGAGAAAATATTGAACACTCACATTTTCATTAAGATGAATAATAATAATAAAATACACAAAAATAATTGTAAAAAATAAAAGGTGCTGCCATACACACGTGTGAATCACGTGACATGGATCAATAGCTATTGACTGAGTTTAAGAGGATGCACTGACTGGCTCAGAGTGCATTTAATTCAGATAACATCTGCTGGTGAAAATGAACACTTAAATCTGAATAGTGAACTTATATCACTTACTTTTACGGGACTGCATCTCAAACTGGCTGAGGGACTGCTTGTTGCACGGTGTGACGATGGGATTTTGACCATGGAGCTCCCTCTTTGACAAGAGCTCCATTAACTTTCTTGACGAGGCCTCTGAGCCAACACACACGAGTGCAAACCTATAAACACAAGCAGGGTCATCAGTCAAATTTGTGTTATTTATGAAAATATATTCATATATAAAAACCTCTCTGTGACCTCTTGCAAACTGTAAAACTACTAAGCAGTATTTGATTAATTTAAAAATTAATAATTAAAGTAGCTGTACAAAAATACATTTCATTTGCACAAGTCTCCCACCAAAAAACAAAATGATGTCTGACTAAAAAAACATCAACACACCTCCCATTTAGCCCAGTCACTATATAGATAAAGCAAACTCACCCTTTTGACTGGCCATTGGCCCTGTTTTCAAAGAACTTGATCTCTAGCACATCTGTGATACCTACTGACCGGATGGCCTCTGTCAGGTCCTCGTCTGTTGTCCACTGTAAAAGTGCAACCCCAGGTTATTTGAATTTAAGAAAAGTGGTGAACTGTTTAACAAATCTGTATTATTTGAGAAGGCACAAAAGTGATTACTGATGAGACAGTTGTACCCACCCATGTAAGGTTTCCTATGTACAGGGCAATCCTTTTGCCAGTGTAAGTGTAGACCACGTTGGGTGGGGCACTTTTGCCCGCCTCTGAGCCACCTGGTGGAGGCAGTGTATCCAGGTAGTCCCGATCCTCAGGAGCATCTCCATTATTGGCTGATGGGGATATTACATCATCATACAAGTCGATCTGTTCGTGAACCGGGTACTCTGCTTCCTGCCAGGAGAAGACAGTGGTCATTTTATTTAACACTTAAATAAAGCTTCCAGAAAACCTGCAAAGCGAACAACAGTTACTACGACTTAAATGCTGTAAGTAACGCTAGACGTAAACAAGAGTGGAAAGAGGTCATATGTTCACTAAGGAGCATTAAGATTAGACTCTGGAGCAATTATAAGGGCCATGTGGTGTGATGAGCCTAGAAATAACCTGATTCAGAGAGGTTGTCACATCAGGGTAAGAACAAGGATGACAGTTGGTTCAGCAACACTGAGTGCTCAATAATAAAGGAAGCTTACAGCCAGAATGCTCTGAGTAATCAGGGTTTTCTGCCAATTTTTTAGTTTTCTCCCTCATTTCACTATTTCCAGGTGGAGCAGACCATTTCCAGTATGACTGGTTGGTATGGTTGGTTCAAGAGGCACAGGACACCACAGATCCAGACCAAACTCCACTAAAATCTTTTTGCACTGCAAATAACTTTATGCAGTTGCCCAACATAAAAATTGCACAATGAATCAAATAAATTATTTTAACATATGTTTATGCAAAAACACCCAGATTTTGCGCTGAACCTGACCATGCATTAGTGGCTATGTAATATCTTTTTAGAGCGCATTTTAAGTTGATTTGAGGCAAAGGAAAATTCTTAAATGTTTAAACTATGTTTAAAACACCTTTTAAGAGCGAGGTGTGCGACTTCTTTTCCTCTCTGTGACAAAAAGGGGCGTGTATACAAGTAAGAACATCCACCGCGAAAACATGTTTAATGCTGCACACCAAGCTAGTTCTAGGGGCTAACAATTGTCAATAGAAATGAGCCACTCCTTTAAATATTTAGTTAAAACCGGTTATAACAATATTTTCAGTACCGTTTCGCCTGAAGTTTGCACATAATAATTTTTAAAACATCAAGTTTACCAAATACCATTACATAAAAAACTACGAAGATAGCTAAGGCAAGCTAATTTAACAAACTGCGTTTGTTTGGATTGCTAGCCCGCCACGGACACCAAGGCCCGAGGGTGTGCTCACGGTAAAAGCGGCGGCTATCCTTAGTTATTAGAAGAAGTAAATATGTGTACAAAATGTGCATCAATTACCACATACAGAAAAAATCTGATTAAATGCTGTTACTACCATAAATGCAACACTGTTCTCTGATAGCTTAGCTGCAGGCTTGCAGCATGGTGAAAAAGGCCTGTACGCGAAAGAAGCTCGTTTTACCATCAAAGCACGCCATTATAATCCAAAATGTAATATCAGGAAACTCTAACAGGATTGCACAAAAATATCACGTTACAGAGGGGGTTGTGGTCATTATTGTTTCGATACCTGGGTGAATTCCTCCTCTACGTCGGCGTAGATGTCGATGTGATCCACACCGTCCGCCATTTTCCTGTGATCCGTTGCTCCGTCCGCCCGGCAGTGCAGAGCCCCAGCAAGCCCCAAACAATGAACCAGAGAGCGGATACAAGAGCCCCCACAGGCCGGTGACAGGCATTACAACAGTAAGCCACCAGAAGACGCCACAAGGATAGACAAGTGAACAAGTTAAGTGTTCTAATTTAATGAAATTACCTCATTTATTTAAGTCACAGATGTTTACCATGTGGTGAAAGTGCAGACGAACATCTCCTTATTTTTCTGCTACATTTAGCAGATCATACTTACATATAATCATGTTCAATGATGTGTTGGAGGTCATGTTTATTCATGTTTTCTAGAGGTGCCTTGAAATTAGAATAAAATAGTCCTGATACTGTTGGTCATTAAATCAGAAAAAATAAAATTAGCGAGCTATTTATCCATGAAAAATTTTCTATGTTTATATTTTTGGAGTGTTTGTCATTTGATAGTATATCCATTTATATTTTATGCTTCACCTGAAAGACATGAAACTGAATGTTTCAACTTTCAGACAAGATTTCTGATAATGCATGATATGATGTCTTGTTAGACACAGATGACTGACAGCCGTCTATTTAACTGATGAAAGTTACAAAAAATATGTTTTTAGTTTTTATCTGTTATGATGTAATTCTCTATGAATGTCAATCAAATTCCAGACAATGATCTTTTCTTTAAAAAAGTATTATTTTGAAACCTTATATCTGCACTGACCAGGCCAAAACAAAAGCAATGACAAACAAAGACAAAGAAAAAGGAAATATAGTAAAAAAAAAAACATGGATAGTTTTATTGACTTGATTTGTGCAAATCATGGTTTCAGTCAAAAAGTAAATGTTATCAATACAATTTACAGAATATTGTACAGCGGAAGGTGCAAACACAAACTGGACAAAATGAGTTTCATCACTGAAATACTGTTCTGATGCACACCTTTACACCCAATATGTTTCTCAGTCAGTAACATGAGCAGGCAAAATTCATGGTAATTAAAAACAGAATACAAAAACCTACTGATAGTCAGGCCAAAATGTGATGAAATGCTGAGAAAAACTGTTCAAAATATAAAACAACCAAATGTATACAAAAATACCCTTTGCAATTTGATATACACTGCTAGTTTACATTTGTATTAACAATAAATATTACTACTTATTAAGTTACTTCCATGATTTTGTATTAAATGTGGATTTCTTAGTCAATATTTTGATGCACAGAAAATTATAAATAACAATTTGAAGTAAATAATACGTGTAACACATTTGGAATATGTTTGGAAACATAGTTTGTCGGATTACATCCTGTGAAAACCTGTCGCACATCGCTGGTTTTCACTTGTCCAGCTCAACAAACTGACAGAGATGATTACGTACAGCATGTACAAACACACAAAAAGACACAGCTGAAAGACACAAAGGCAGACATAAAAAAAGTGACACAATTAAACATTTTGGGGGTTTAATCTTATTAATAAACTATCATTTTAAAATGATTGAGAGGCAGCTAATAAGCAATCCTGCTCAGTCGTATTGCATATTAGTGTCTGTGTCATGATGAGGTGTCATTTTCAAAGCCTAATTGTGATGATTTTCTAGGCACTGAGCCATTATCCATTGTCACTGTAACATTATTTGGCCAAACAACCATGTAAATAAACCACTAACACAAAAGCGTTTCCCTTTTGGCCTACTCTCATTTAATTGGCTTGTATTCAATAATAAAAAAGGGAAAAGACTATCTGTAAGTATATTTAGCATATTTGAGGGGGTAATTTGATGCTTGCTAGGGCCTACATAATATGCATGTGTGTCTGCACGATTCAGTCAAGTGGGATGTGGAGAGCAGGAAACACACTTCTGTCCCCTTTGGAATTGTAACGTTGCACCTTGTGGAACATAATTGTCTTTTATTAATCCATGCTACCTCTCCTGTCTGATTAGTCCATTCTCATCCAGAAATGCAAAGCTGTGCATAAGAAAATAGCATAGTGACAAGTATCCATGGCAACAACATCCTATTAACATCCTTGATTCTTTTGCAGTTTTCAGTTCAGATGCATAGAGTCCCAGGAGTTAAACAAGAAATGTCTTTTATTCCGCCTCAAAGATTCCCCAAGAGACACTTGGTTTGCAGCTGTCACCAGCGATACGCGCAGAACCTGTTGTTTAAAAAAATCCACAGAGAGTAAACAGTGTGGAAACCTTTTCTTCTCAATGTCCCCCTCATTTGAGATGTGAGGAAACTGCATAGCTCTCTGTCATCAGGAAACAAGTGCAGCAAAGGAGAGACAAATGAGGAGAAGACATTTTGAAAGAGATATAAAAGATGCCCCTCCACAGTCGTTGGCATTTTCCTACAGGGACAAAACAGACAATTACTTCAGTTAGAGTTTTACCACTGAAATCAAACACTGAATAAATATGTTCATTAGAGAGTGTTTGAGTGTATTTGAATATATGATCGTAAATCTGAAGAAGCTGACCTGTGGGTGATAGGAGTGGCAGGACTCGGGGCGTCTCCGAACCTTCTGGGACCTCATTCGGTCACACTTCACTGAGGCGTTATGTATGGAGGGGTCAAGGGGAAATACTGGAGCAGATTAAAAAACTATCAAGAGCACATAGGTCAGAGCAGGACTGGGAGTTCACAGCAGAAACCTGAAAGACAAAAGACCAACGCATTGCATGCTTTTGATAGATTTTTTTTCACTTGGAGCACACAATGTCAATTTACTGTTTGTGATTTCTTGAGCAGATCCCAAAAGGATATATTTGACTTCCTTGGGTTCCAGGGTTATGGGTGGGTGCTGTCTGGAGCAGTCGCAGTCTGCCTGTACCACAAGCATCAGCAGGTTGCTCTCAGGTATCTGTTGCACCACAAACATCCTGACAAAATCCAAAAATGTCAAGTATGAAAGGTGCATGCAAACCTAAACCTTCACAAAAAAACTTTAGCATGTTGTGTATCATACTAAAATAGAAAAAGCATATTCACTTCACTTAATAAACCAAATAATCCCAGAGGCTGTAGTGCTGTGTTTTACCACCTTTGTCCTCACGAGGGTGTCCACACTCAACCTATTATTTGAGATTGTCTGTGACACTCCTGCTTCTTTCTTTTTTTCACCTGTTTGTTTCTGTTACTCAACATTTCCAGTCTCTCTCTTTGTCATTTGATTTCTCCTTCCCTTGCTCTCCAAATGCCTCTCAGTCTTTCAATAGCCAAATGCACCCTGTTGTGATTCATTTCCTCTCTACTTAAGTCCCCCTTCCTGACACTCTGGTATGAGTGCAGACTCTCAGTAAGCAGAGCAAAGCTTTAGAAAATAGATTTCACAGGAACAAATTAATACGACTGGTCTAAAGCTTAGAGAGGACTTTGTCGAAATCTACATGCACGTGTGTTGTGAGAGTGTGCAAGAGTGTGTGTTTACTTCTGGCATCGTCCACACTTAATAATACTGTTGGTCTCCTTGACTGACGGCTCGTAAACGAAGCTGGGGTATTCCGTGTCACATGGCTGCAGGTGTTCCACTTTTTTCTTATGAGTGTAGGCTAAAAGAGTTGGACAGGCAGGGTCACGTCTTCAGGTTAAGATTTTACACATATTTGTATATTGGTACATGTGTGACAATATGTTAATGACTGAAAACAGTCTCTGACAGGAAAGTCAGGGCTAGTGTCTCCATGCTGACACTTAGACTACAGCATTCTCTTAAAGAAAACATGTATGATGGATCAGAAATGACTTGTTAAGATTTCACCTGTCTGGTTGTGAGTTTTGAGGTTTCCAATGTCTTCATTAAAAAAAAGTCTGACGTTGGGTTTTGTGTAGCACGATTTAGCAGCTGTTTGGGTTGCTTATGAAATCATTCTGTGATCTGACACACCACATTTTATGTAATGCTTACTATCAACACTACACTACACATAAAACACTCAATACGAGATGTAGTTAAACATAAAACTGTATTTCACCCCCCGGGCACTACAAGACAGATACTCACACCCACTGAAAGATGGCTTGGCTGAATGGAGGTATGATGATGATATCATGAAGTGGATGGAAAGGTGTAATGAGCATGGTGAAGGTGTGATTCATGAACCCAAAGAGGCAGATGAGAGGTGAGAAGATTAGATAACACAATGCTGTCACGATGATACCATTTATACACATGATTTTTTATTGTTTGTTATTTATTTATTGCTTGTCTGGTGTAGTAAAGTGTGATGACTTTAAACCTTTAAATGTAAATCAGGATAAATGTAAAAATCTACAAGGAATATGATGAGTTGATTTGAATGAAAACTGACCACCATGAAGGTGATTTTTAAACCATCTACATCATTTCTATTTATCAGCGGAAGCTCTAGCATATATGAAACCTAGAAACAGAATCACACACTTTTTCCGAAAGAGCTTACCATCAGCAAAATGCTCTGTATGCCAGAATCCACAGAAATTAAACTCCAGTAGAAACCTTATGCAGGATAGAGAAACAAGGAGAGCAGACACAAAGAGAGTCTCATCATCATCGACCAAAGCAGGCTGTAAACGGCATTAAAAATACCTGGGCCAGGAATCAGAGTTGTGAACTTCCAACTTTTTCAGTTGGGCTATTCTCCCTTTATTAAATACTTTTTTCTTATAACATCCACATTTTTGGTAGAAGATGAGCCAGTATGATAAATCTTAGAATTAAGTGGTATTCCTGAAATATGATGGTAACACAACATCTTATCATCTAATTACGAATAATAACATAGAATATCCTTTTGGGATGTAGGTATTTTGACCTCATTTGCGTCACTGGGCTTTCACCGGGAATTTAGATGACTAATGCTCCCTATTAAATCAACAGTTTAAACCGACATTTACATATTTCACGGTTTTCTCAATAGGACACATTTCTATGTAATTCATCGAAAATGGTAGCTCGAATTAGACTCAGCATATGTATTATCATTGTCACAAACCAATAAACTAACTTTGAAGTGCTTTGCACTTTCAGAGGAGCCGGTTCTCGTTGCCCCTGGCAACACTTACAGTAAGAAGTTGGAGAGGAACCACTTCAGGGTTGAAGCCAAAGCATATATGGGCTAAAGAGACAGAGAAAAAATGCAATTTATTATTGATTTTTTCTATCTATCTATCTATCTATCTATCTATCTATCTATCTATCTATCT